ATACATATATATATATATACTAATTTATAAAGTAAACATCGAATAATTTTTTTTTTTTTTTTAAATATCCCCTAAACATGAGAATTGTTATAAGCACAAATTACATTGGTAATTATTACATTTTGTCTTTTATGTCATTTGGTCCCTACACATTTAATTGGCTCAATTTTTATTATTAATTTTAAATTTTGTGACAATTTGGTTTAATTGACAACGTGATTAGTGTTTTATTTTTATTTTTAATGAAAAATGATCACTAAGTTCATTGAGATTAATTCATTGAATTGATCATGTTTATAATTTTGTCTTTAAAGGCATAATACATGTCGTGCATGTGAACATTTTTCATAAAATAATGCTAACATTTTCAATTAATTGGATCAAATTAAGATAAATTAAAAAATCAAGGTCAAAATTGAGTCAATTATAATTACAAAGACTAAAGTTACCAATATAATCTGCTCATGTTATAAATTGCTTCAATTCTTTCTAATTGTTTCAAATAACTGCCTTAGTTATTGATCCATTTATAAATTCTACATTATGTGTGTGTCCACCTCTGGTGTATATATATATATATTAGGGTGTGAGCCCACTTGATGAGTGTACCTAACATATAAATTTCAATTTTGAATGGAAAAAAAATATGCTCTATATTGTTTAAGTGGTAAAAGTGTTTTTTTATCATATCAATCAATGGTCATTGTAAGTTCAAGTTTTGTACCCCTCATGTAGCTTTTTTTTTTTTTTTTCTTTCTTTTTTGATGGAGAAATTGACATATGATATAAGGAGAGAAGGCTACTTGACAAACGGGAAGAAGAAAGTTCATAGACACCAAGTGAGTTATTCATTTTTAATAATAGTATATGTTAGAATGGTTGATAGAAAAGGAAAACTATGTATCTGTATTATATTGAATTGAATGAATGAATACAATAGAAGAAGCATGTATATATAGACTGAAAAGAAACCTAAATAAGTATAGAAGAAGATAGAGATACAAGGAGAGAGAGAGAGAGAGAGAGATATACAAGGAGATAGAGATAGAGATAGAGATGGAATAGAGATACAAATAGATAAGTATAATATAATATATATTAACAGCCCCCCTCAAGCTCAATGTGGATAAGCATCAACCAACTTGAGTTTGGAAAGTAGATCACTGAAATGACTAGGAAGATGAGCCTTGGTAAAGATGTCTGCTATCGGATCGGCAAAGATAAAAAAAGATAAGGAGAACAGTGCCACTAGTAACATGTTGTCGTATGAAGTGACAATCAATCTCAATATGCTTTGTGCAATAATGGAATACAACATTATGGGCAATCTAAATAGCACACTGATTATCACAAATAGAGGTTAATCGCAATAGAATGAGAAACTCCCACATCAGAAAGAAGTCAGCGAAGCCACACAAGCTCCTGAGTAGTGTCAGCAAGAGCACACTCAGTCTCAGTACTAGAACAAGCAACAAAAGTTTGCTTCTTGCTACGCTAGGCAATGAGAGACTCACCCAAGAAGAAGCAGAATCATGTAATAGAACGACAGTCAGTAGGATCCCCTGCCCAATCGGCAGTCAGTAGAATCCTCAAGATGGGCCGGAGTCATAGTGTCTGTATCAAGCTCATCAAACAAAAGAGAGGGATCTGTAAAGAATGGTGTAGTGAGAGGAGTGGACAAATAAAACTTAGATGTAGAGGAGAACATTTTGTGTTCTCAAAATACTACATGACGAGAGACACAAAGACGACCAGAAAGAGGATTCCAACAACGATAACCTTTATGTTCAATCTCATACCCCAAGAAGCAACACAAACGGGTGCGAGGTTCTAATTTGGTACATTCATATGGTTGATGAAGAACAAAACAAGCACATCCAAACACACGAAGACCAATATAGGGAGTGGGTGTGCCATACAGATGCTCATATGGGGTTTAACTGTTAATGGTACGAGAAGGAACACGGTTGATAGTATAGACTGTTGTGAGAGCAACTTCTCCCCAAAAACGTTCGGGACAAGAAGAAGAGATTAAAAGAGCACGAACAGTGTCTAAGATATGACGATGTTTGCGCTCAGCATGGCCATTTTGTTGGAAGGTACCAGGACAAGAATAATGAGAAAGCGTACCATTTTGACGAAGGAATTTCAAAAAATGAGTTTCTTTGTATTCCTGAGCATTATCAGCACGAAAAATTCTGATGATGGAGGAGAATTGAGCTTTGACCATGTGAGAAAAATCGGAGTATATTTGGTGTAACTCAGAGCGAGATTTCATAAGAAATAACTAGGTAAAACGAGTGAAATCATCGACAAATATAACAAAGTATTTAGATCCCTCCATAGTAGTATTAGAGAAGGCCCCCAAACATCATAGTGTATGAGATCAAAAGGTGCATGAGACATAGAGGTACTACTAAGAAATGGCAAGGTAGGCTGTTTTGCAAGTTGACAAGATAGACAGTCTACTTTATCATTTGGAACATCATCTAACTGACCACTTGAAACTAGAGAGTGTAAACGATCAAAGGACACATGACCTAACCGAGAATGCCATAAAGCAAGCACGGAACTAAGAGTAGTAGAAGCAACAGTCTCAACATTGGAAGTACTAGAGAAGGGGATGTGCGAACGTGGATAAGCTCGTATAGACGTCCATGTCTACGACCTATCCCAAGGGTTTGTCCCGCCTTCGCATCCTGCACAACACAACCAGTTGGAGAAAATAGAATAGTGAGACCAAGATTATAGAGTTGACCAATAGAGATAAGATTAATTGTAAGATTAGGGATCAGATACATGTTAGGGAGAGAGACATTAGAGGTAGAAATATGACCTACATGACTAACAAGTATTTGAGAACCATCAGCAGTGTGAATGCTAGGTAAACTAGAAGGAGATGTAGTGGAAGAAAACAATGTAGGGTCAGAGGTCATATGCTTGCAACATCAAAATACCATGAAGAGGTACCTGGGGTGACTGAGATAGCAGTAAAAGGTGTACCAGATGTGGAAAGAACCTTTCGCATAATAACTTCAACATCATGAACAGTGTGAGTGGAAGAGGAGGCAGGTGCAATAGTAGCAGAAGTAAACTGAATCAAAGAGTCATGTTGACTAACAGCAGATCCAGAAGACCCACCGTAGAGAGGAGAACTATCTGAATGATCCATGAAGTGATCAAAGTATGAGTCACAAAGAGGGCCCAGTAGTGTCGAAGTATAACTAGCTAAGTCACAAAGAGGGCCCAGTAGTGTCGAAGTAGAACTGGGTGAAACAGAGTGTCCCAATGAATCTAGAACATTGAAAATAGCTAGAGAGAAGCTAATTGGCCCAAAAATAGCCAAAAAAATAGACCTATAGATGAAAAATAAGCCAAAAAATGACGTCAGCAACCAGTGGATGACGTCAGCGTGCGCAGTGCATGTTAGTGGAAGAGGCTCACGGCACACGGTAGTGACAGTGGCGTGTGCGGCGCACAGTAGCAAAAACGGTGCACGCGAGTGAACGATAGCATGAACGGCACACGCTGGTGCACGGTAGCAGGACGGCGTACACGCGGCGCACAACAACAGGAACGACGTACACGGGTTGTAGGGCTAACATCAGGTGCTGACGTGAGTAAGCAACTAAAGGGCGCATGTGAGAGTGGTGGCGAAAGGCAGAGACTCGCCGAGCAATGGCGCATGAGGGTGCATGAAGGGGTTTCTGGTGACATGGTCGGTGCCGTTGGAACCGTAAGGAGATTCCGATTAGTTTGGTGGCAAGGGAAAAACATTTGGGTGAAAATAACAATGAAGCAGTGCTGGAACAGAGATAATAAAGTGTATGGGTTATGGAATGAATGCTGTAGTGCCACTGTGTACGGGAACTAAGCACAAAGAGAAAAGAAAAGGGCGATAAGTACTGTATTATATTGAATTGAATGAATGAATACAATAAGAGAAGCATGTATATATAGGCTGAAAAAAAACCTAGATTAGTATAAAAGAAGCACTACTACAAATATAGATAAAGATCACACTTTTTTGGTGTGATGTATATTTTTTAATCACACCTTTTAAGTTTTATTAAAGTGTGGTCTTTAGGAGTGTGATTAAAAATGGTTATTTTTAATCACACTTTTTAAGTGTCATTAAAAAATGTTTTCATCACACCTTTTAAGTGTGATTAATAATATTTAGATCACACCTTTTAAGTGTGATTAAAAACTTTAGATCCCACCTTTTAAGTGTGATTAATAACTAATAGATCACACCTTTTAAGTGTAATTAAAAATATTTAGATCACACAATTTAAGTGTGATCTTTGGAAGTGTGATTAAAAATGATCATTTTTAATCACACTTTTAGCAAGATCACGAATGAAACTGGCAAGTGACTCTAGCAGCGCTGTCCGCATTATAGGTCCCTGAAACAGTACCTGCAGAGGCAAAATTTGCAAAGGATACTCATACCCAGGCCTTGCAAAATTCTGTTAAGTTTCGTGTTTTGTTTGACCAGTTGGGGCTGAGCCAAGTTGCCAGGTTGAAAGCAACAAAGGCCCTCATTAATATCTCCCTCATTAATATCTCCGAAGTGCACCATGATGAAGTTGCTGAGGCTAAGGAGTATGTGCCTCTGCATATCCAGAAATATTATGGGGCCATTACTTTTTCAGAAGTAGACAAAGCATACCCATTTCCTCATAACCGTCCTATTTTTGTCACAACTTACATCAATGATGTAGAGTGCCATTTGTTTCACCCTCACCTAGCTACACACTCTCCAACTCCCATACTGTTGCTGCTACTCATTCTCCAGCTACTTTCGCCATTATTGGACCATTAACATAGTTTTGCCTCTCTAATCACCTTTCTAACCTTGAGCCCCCCTACATTTCTGGCGACTCCATTGGGAAGGCTACTTTGTTGATGGTTTATACTCGCAATAGATTACACACTTCA